GCCAAAATCTAGGATTGTACTGCAGAATATACTGAAAGATATACTGACATATTTTAAGTGTTCTTAAAATTTCATGTCTGTTTCACCATACCTTTGGATTTGGCTAAAAAAAATAAAGATTTATTAGAAAAGCATTCACATTATTTTATGCACTATGTGACTTTGTGGAGATTGGGGGAAAATGTTCTTTTGGTTTGTTTTTTCATCACAGTTCAGCCCTGTTCTTTAACCTCCTAAGACCCGAACTCTTCCACGGCATGCATTTTTAATTTCTCTTTGATATTTGGGCTGATTGGGACCTGATGAATGTAAACCTGATTTTTGTTTTTAAGAAAAATGAGAGCCACATATGAGGATATTTGTTTAAAATTTTGATAGAACAGTAGCAGTATAATGTCCTCATAAGAGGATATTGGGGCACCTGTAGAGCAAAATGGAGTATTTTGGTCTAAATAACCCAAAATGTGATGTCCACATATGTGGACACCAGGTCCTAGGAGGTTAAAAATAATGGAAACAGTTTTTGGGATCTTTCCGATAATCCATGACAGAAACACTTCTTCCAACAACATGTGCACATCAACTATTTTCACTTTCACTTTATGCTGAACAGAATGCCCCACAGAAGCTGATTAGTCATGCTGCATTGTTTACACGAACGATGTCAGATGAATGATTGCGTGTCATCCAGTAGAACCGTAGCCAAAAGCAAAGGGATTTTTCCAGGAATACTGTACCATGTCCTGCTTCCCTCCTCTCCTCTTTCCCGCCTTCATTTAAGGCTCCCCCGCGCTCCTGGCACAGTGCTAGTCTTCCTTTGAATTCCATGCATCTGGTCATTTTTGGGAAACGCCCACGGCAGAGCTGTCGAGTGAACCACAGGAAACAAAGCCTCTTGGTTTCCTCAGCAGCTTGAAGAAGGCCAGTAGTGACCCTCGGGATGGGGTCAGGCAGTAGAGTGGGAAGGTTCTGGACTTTCTAGGAATTGTTTTTCAATGGAAACGTAATGTTTTTCTGTTTCTCTTCAGAAGAATCCATGGATTCTAATAGAATTAAACTATGTTGCATAAAAGCTTTCTTTGATATTTGTTCAGACTTGCTAAGTAGGAATTTGACTGATTCAGTTAAATGAAGGATAAAAATAACACTAAAACCTTCGAGCTGTGTCCCTAAGCCACAGTGTGATCATGCAATGGTTTTCTTTTACTAGACTAAATCCTTTGAACAGGGTTGTAACTACTTAACACCTTCAGGGGCATGATACACCCTCAGCTGTCTTCCTCTTCCTCTATTTTCGCCGTGTGAATGACTCACTTATGCTCTCAATTTAGAAAGTTAATCAACAAGAATCAAAAGAAGGCCTAAAGAAAAAGAATAGCAGCAGATGGCTACTGCCTTGTTTTTTAAAAATGCTTACAGACCTGGCTGCAGAAGTTTGTTGCTTTTTTTTCAGTGTAGGCTTTCAAGTGTCTGTCCAAGTAGAGAGCCAATTTTGGTTTCATTGTGATGAACAGCTTGTAAATCAGAGTTTTCCATCACTGTGAAGAACACTCAGTGCCACCTTGCTGCGTGGCCTACTCAAGGGTCTAATAGTTTACAAAGGAGGTTACAAAAATAGGAATGTTGGTGGAAATTTATGTATTTCCTCTCTGTTGTCCTCATGTTCTCATTTTGAATAAAAAAAACCTTTTTCTTACAGCAGTATTATTGATAGAGGAGCAGAGACAAACACACTTGCTCTTTTTTCCCCCTCTGCATGAAATATTTGGCTGCATATCACTTCTCTGTGACGCCAGTCTCACTGATTCAGACCAGAACACTTCCATCACCATCAAGGCAAAACGCTCTTAGAGTCTTCAAGGTCTGCTTCAATGGAATGAGACATAGTGCTGACATTTATTTACATGCAGGATGTAGTACAGCTCTCCAGTTACTTAATGTTAAATTGCCTTCATAAACTAACCTCTGCCAGTTCATGGGTAAAGGCTGAAAGTTCATGTCAGCCAGTTCTCAAGAGTTTCTAGTGTTGTCTGTAGGGCCACAGGTCAACTTCTTTAGTTTCAAGAGTCAAGTCTCAGTTCCCAGCTTTTAATTCTTAATGGTTGAACCAATTAATATTGATGATTTAGCTGACCAGTGTCTGTGTAACGGTACTCTCCTGTGTTTCCATTCCCTCTTGACTAATTTCAGTAAATTTTAGAAAACGAGAAACCCTTTTTTGTCATAATAATACTAAATATTACATAATATGAGCAAAAATATCGTTCTCTCTTACTAAAAGTATTAAGTACAAATGCTAGCAGGCATTTTTATTACAGTTTAATCATAATAGTTTTTTTTTTTTTTTAATGGAACAAAATATTTTTTTCATGCTTATATTTGACATTCCTCTCAGCCCAATGTGACATTAAATAGCATGGATGTTGTTCTTTTTGTATTATGTTCTACCGACAATATTTCGTTTATCATCATATATGACACAAAAAATAATAAAATATTATTGACCAATAATGGCTGATTGACAGTCACATTAAATTCTTTATAGATGATTAACCATCTATGTAATTTTTCAAATAAAATGACAAAGGTCCCACCGATGGCCTGATCAGAACACTGAGTCTGATTCACGTAAGATTTTCTTTTAAAGCTATATTTGACAATTTTAGAGAATATGATCTTCAATATATATATCAGTTTTTTTTTTCCAAAGGCACATTTGTTTCTTTTGTTGTTTTGTGTATGTCTGACTTTGCTTGTTTGTGGCATTCCAAACACAATGCTAACAGGGAACTTCCACAGTGCCCTCTGGTGGACAAACTATGTTACATCAAGACTCGTAACATGGTTGAATGGTGTCTCTCGTCTCATCTTTCTTTTTTTAAATTTTCATTTATCGGTCGTTTTAAATATCGAAACTGATAGATTAAATGTAGCTTAAATCAGTCTCGTGATAAACTAATCAGACTCTACTAATCATCCCTGCTTTTCTGGAGACAATGTGGATGCCATGTGTGATAAACACACTAAATAAACAGTTTGTAACATATCTTTTGGTCACCTGGATAAAATGTAGGACCAAAACGACATCGTCAGTAAATTTAAATGAGGCTTTTAGAGTGAAAATACAAAAACGATGCTCCTTATGTATGAAATGCAAACAGTGCCACACTCCTGTATGAAAACAAATGAATATTTTTCGTGCTGCTTCCTCTTATTTTCCCTTGTATCCTCTCTTTAGCCACTTTCTTCGTTGGCCGATTTCCCGTCTTCCTCTGTGTTCTGTACAGTAGATCTTTCCACAGTTGCTCAGAGTTTGTGCCCAGTTGAACCAAAGACTGTTAATCTGGTAATCCACAATCAATATCAGCCTCAACTCTTTTCCTTCAGATAAAAGTGACCTATCTGATAATTGTATTTGCTTCACCATGTCTGAAAAAAGGTGCCCTTTCTCTCTGTGCGTTCCTTTGGTCCATGAGATTCTTCTGCTGGTATAGATTTAGTCTGGAGAAAGGGGGGGAAAAAGTGACATTTACACCATATTATTTAAATATGATCTGCAAAGTGTTATCAATAATTCAATTTCCTGTGTCGGATTTACGCAAACACAGATTCCATTGTAACTTACAATATGTGACATACAGATGTGGCTGAATTAATTTTTATTATATACTGCGTTGTGAATTCTTTTTTTGGTTTTGTTTTACAGCTGAAATCACTTATCTTGAGTGTGTTACTGCACTAGACATTTGTAATTAGGCTATTATTTTTTGAGAAGGAGACATCAGCCTCGTGGGTTTTTGTGTAACGCTCTGAAGTGGAACAGATGAAATGCAAAACTAAACTCATCAAAGTCAGGGGTCTATTTTCAGATGTGGAAATTGCCCAAATGTAATTGTTTTCAGTCCAGTAATTTCATGTTGTACTTGTTGGCTGCAGTTTTCTTCAGTTCTCATGGCAGGTAATTTAAACGAAACCCAAGCTGATTTGATAATTGAGTGAAAAATGAGGCTCCTGAACTTGTGGCCTCAGCGTCATCGAGATACTCTCGAGAACTTTCAGTCTGTTGCTGTTCATTCTTGTGGACGTGTGTGTGACGAAAAAGACGTAGGACTTCATAAGCACTGTGTTTAATCTTGTTTGCAGATGTGATTGGAGCTGCGGTTGCTTGTGATCAGGCAAACGCTCTCCAAATTGACCGAATGCTCTTTTTGTGATGTTTTTGGTCACGGTCAATCAAAAGAGATTTAATGCTGCACAGGAAGCGGGTTTCACTGGAGTCTTTCACTTGGCACGATAATTACTCATTGTGTAGTCAGAGGGTGCGAGATGACATACAAGTGTTTCAGGATGGTGTGTAATCAATGTTAAAATGAAAAAACTAAATCATATGTTGAATCTTGAATATCATCAACTCATTAAAAAAAAAAAGTTGAGATAAATCGGCAAAAGAAGAGCGACAAAAGAGCAAAAACACCAAAGACAAGATGATCCATCTGACCTGCAATCACGACACTGTTAAAAACATTCACAGTATTTAAATAGTGCCTGAGTGTGCATGAATTTGGCATCTGTGAAGGCACCATTAAAGCTGAATGAAGTATATAGTTTCAGGAGCAACATATCTTCGAATGCAACATTTTTTTTCAGGGAAAATGCTCATTTCAGCAAGCCCACACTCTACATGTACTACAGCAGGATGGATCTGAGATAAACAAGCATGCATGTAAACAGGACTTCAAGTAATCCAGAAACAGTTTGTAAATTATACAACAAACACGTGGGACTCAGGGGAGCATATTTAGCAGGATTGGGGGAATATTTTACATTCAAAACTGCCTTCAGTCCCTAAAAACTAATGTGTTAAAAAGAGATTATGAAGTTACATTGCTTTGTCCCAGGATTATCTTAAGTGCTGTGAAATTCCAAATAAGACCTATAATTAAAGAAAGTAAAATATATATATATAAACACATATTTCTAAATTGGTTTCTAAAACTTGTCTTTTATTTTTGTTTTTATTTCCATTTTCTACAACAGAAATTACCTAGTCTATAGTTAACAAATAGCTCAGATATACTTTTAGATTCTGAACAGATACACGCGTGAAGTCATTTATTGAACATAACTGGTTTTTGAATTTAATCGGCTAAGATTGGGAAGCGAAAGCATCCGTGTGAAGACACAGTATTCCAGGCGGTAGCTCCTTGTGTAGCCAGTAGGGGGAATCGACTGCTCGCGCTGGCGCCATCCCCGCTCGTCTCCACTCCTATTCCCTGCGTTCTCCCAGGTTGTGGAAACGCTGCAGCCCGCTGGTCTGTGTCTGGATCGCTCTCTTGCACAGATCTGCTCAAGACCCTCCCACCAGCTGGGCTGGAGAAGGAGGAGGGCAGTTTGCTCCGCTCGCAACCTCGGACGAGCCCCCTTTACCACCCTGTCAGTGTGGAGTAGAAGGAGAGCGAGAGAGAGACAGGGAGAGAGAGAGGCTGAGAGACTGTGTAATAGAGAAAGCGCACGCGAGAGAGAGAGAGCAGCTGTGTGACAGAGAGAAAGAGAATGAGGCAGGGTGCTTAGAGGAGTGAGAGAGCCAAGGAAGAAATAAGGAACACATTTTACAAGAGCAGAAAGAGGGAGGATCGCAGACGAGGGACTCCTTCTCCACTGGGCACCCGGGACACTGTCACTGTGGGGGCTTTTTTCACTCATCTACTAGCTGGAACTCAGTGGATTGAATAACCAACCGGTGGATTTTTAAAAAATATATATATATATGCTTGTGTCACATCATTTAGAAACTGGGATCTTTGCTCTGTTATCTGTCCTTCCGCTGGCTCAACCGTTACGGACTGAAATTGCTTTGCGTGTCTGTGTTCAGCTCTCGTGTTGTGACTCTGCTCCTTGCACAAAGTGCATCTGACGGCGCTGAGGATATCTCCCCTCTGTCAAACAGGACAGCACGCAGCCATCGTCGAATCAGACAGAGGCAAGAGAGAAAGTGTGTGTGTGTGCGCGTATATGTAAGAGAGGGAAAGAGAGAGCGAGAGGGGCAGCTAGCGAGAGAGTCAGATTCAGTGTTTGGGAGAGAGAGAGAGACAGATTAAAGCCCAGGCAAAAGACTGGAGTGAAACAGCTTAAATAGAGAAGTGAACGTATACGTCCTTTCCCGTTTTCCTTACCATTCCTTTCCTCCTCCTCTCCTCCTCCTCTTCTCCCATTTTCCAACATTTATTGGACTGCCAGAGCTACTGCCACCTGCACCTCGCGTCTTCTCTTTCCTCTTCTTCCTCTACCTCACCCTTGTTAGGCGTTAATATCCAACAGCAGCCTCTGTAAAACACGCCTGTCTTGCTTCTAGCACTTGTGGAAATATTTGCATTGATCCAAGAGTGTGAGACTGAGTGAGCATCTGCCTCGGTACTGATTCCCTGGACCGGTAAGACACAGTTCGTCAGGAGCTTCCTCATCAGAGGCAGCCCTTCTCCCAGCCACTGTCCGACACGCAAACCCTGCTTTCTCCCTGGAGGGATCAGCGAGTGACACAGCGGTGTGGATAGCAAAGACAGGAATTGCACAGTCCCTTCATTGCCTCTATCCCATTGCTAGCTACTTGGCAGCTCCCGCCCCCGTGTCACCATTCCCTGCCTCAGTGCTAAGGATTCCAGCTACATGGGCAAGCGATTGGAGCAGCAGCCAATGTACCCTCAGTACACCTACTACTACCCCCACTATCTCCAGACCAAGGTATGCTGCTCTTCTGCTCTTCTTTCATTTCTCATTTACTCCTACACTCTTGTCCTGTATCCCTCCCACTCTTCCTCATCCCCCCCCCATCTCTGAGTGGAGATGGGATTTGGTGGATAGTTGGCCTTGGCTGCGATGGTTGTGATGTCAAGAACCTCATTGGAGTTCGGATGTTTATGCCGCTCCGTGTGTGTGTCTGTATGTATGTGTGCATATATGTCACAGAGTGAATGATCAAGGATCAGGGATCAAGGCTTTGGTCTACTCTTCTGCCTAGCAGAGCGTAACCAGGAGCTGTCCAGTAACCTCCATCTATACTTAATCTGCCTACTGCTGAGCTCCTAAAGAGATGCTGTGAAGCGTAACATGTTAAATAATATGTTTAGCAGATTCAGGGGAATTTTATGAAGCGAAATCTCTTATTGTGCCACTATAGATTAAGCAAATGAAAGATTCTAAACATTTATTAATTAATGTAGCTCACTTTAAATTCTCTAAACAGCATAAATGTCCAGATTTCTGCAAAGATGAGAAAAATGGGTTATGAACCCTTTTATTCTGTGGCAGTGGTACGGCTGTGACACAGAGCAGGCATGAGGACGGCCGCCTGTGTTTGTTCCAGTTATAGTATGCATCAGTGCCTCTGGGATGGACGCCCAGGCTTGGGCCCTGATGGCTGCCAGGACACTGGCTGGGCACACTACCCAGACATCATCAAGGGATTAAAATGGAAGCCTTTTGGGGATTACTCTATTTGTTTTTCTACCATATGTGTAACACTAATTTTTGTCCATTATTGTGACAGTGTGATGCACATCGGTGAAAGAGCTGCAAGTGTACAGTTGAACTTTCAATAGAATTACTTTGCATTTCATTTGGTTATTAAACCGTGAATGTATCTGATATGATTATTATAAAGAAAACACAGAAATTTTGTTATTTTTAACTATTTATTTTTTATGTGGCAATCGAATATGATTGATATGATGGACTTTTTTAAACTGCCAACCCAAATGTGTCCCCCGATTCTCAGAGTACTTGACGTTGCCAATGGCATATTTAATATTTTCTTCAGCCTTGATTACTGACTTTTAAATGTTATCAAAATATGGATTACTGCTTCACAGTTGCACTACAGAGCGCAATGGCAGTTTAAATATTTGGGCAATGACACCTCTTTATAATTGTGGGCGTGTGCACCGCCACAGTGGATTTTAAATCCATTCAAGGTGTTCGCCAATAGAACTGAATCAGCTGTATATAGAAATATTTTGATAATGGAGTGCATTTATATAGCGCTTTTCTGGGCCCTCAAAGCACTGTACAATTCCACTATTCATTCACTCTCACATTCACACACTGATGGAGGCAAGCTACAGTTGTAGCCACAGCTGCCCTGGGGCAGACTGACAGAAGCGAGGCTGCCATATCGCGCCATCGGCCCCTCTGGCCATCACCAGTAGGCGGTAGGTGTAGTGTCTTGCCCATGGACACAATGACCGACACTGTCCGAGCCGGGGCTCGAACCGGCAACCTTCCGGTTACAAGACGAACTGCCAACTCTTTGAGCCACTCTCTAAGTGCTGGGCTTAGTTCAAGAGACACAGTTCGGTGGGTCTACAAAATGATCGTTGTACTCAAGAACAAAGAAGTCACATTAGACTTTGCCAAAAAAATGTCTAAAAGATGCTGCAGAGATCTGAAAGAAAATTTCTTTGGACAGATGAAGCCAAGATGAATTTGTACCAGAATAATGGGAAGAGAAAATTGTGGAGAAAAGAAAGAAACTGCTCATGATCGGAAACATATCACATCATCTGTCAAATGGATTGGAGGCAGTATTATAGTATGGACATGCATGGCTGCCAGTGGAACCGGGCCACTAGTGTTTATTGATGATGTGACAGCTGATAGAAGAAGCTGGATGGATTCTGAAGTGTAGACAGCTATACTCTCTGTTCAGATTCAGTCAGATGCTGCAAAACCGATGGGACAGTGCTTGACATTGCAAACACCCAAAGCATACTGTGAAGAAGCCCAGAGTTTCTCAAGGCAGAGAAATGGGATATTCTTCTTCTTGTCCAAGTCAGTCATCTGATCTCAACACAAAAGAGCACGCTTTTCAGTTATTAAATACAAAACTGAATGCAGAGAGCTCACAAACAAGCAACAGTAAAGGCCTTGCACAGCTTCTCAAGGGAGGAACCACAGCATTTTGTGATGTCCATGGGTTCCTGAATGAAATGCAAAAGATTTGTATCTGAGTATTAAAAATTGTCCTCATATTTAAAATATGATTGTGATCTCAAAAACGGGTAATGCAGTACTTTTGTTAAACCTCTTTACTCAAACAGAAATTCTATATAGTCATTTTTTATATTTGTATATCTCAGTCTTAGTCTGTCTTTTAACAATGATTGTTATCCCTCATTATTTATTTCATAAGATGTTTGTGTAAAATTTCGGTGTAATTTATGCCTGAGTTTTGGATTTCTGGTCAAACAGAAATCTGGTTAGCATGTTTTGTAAAATCACAGTGACCTTTACTTTTAACCCTTGACCTGAAAAATTAAATCTGCTCTCCGTGAGTCCCACTGGATGTTCGAGGTTAATTTAAAGTGTGGAGTAATAATTTAAGTAAATTTAAAGAAACTGCCCCAAGTGAGCTCGTGTCTGCAAGAACAGACTGGATGGACCATAGCAGCTGCCAGTGTAAAAGCATAAAAATATATTTTATTTTTGTGGTCTTTTCAAACGAGAGCTGTTTTTTGGCATTCTTTCAAACGCTCAGCTGGAAGAATCAATGTGCCACTTTCACCCCATTTATTTCCAGGAAATAAAAAGAGAAATAAAATGTGTTTAAGAAATATATGCAAGGAAAAATTATAAAGTTTAAAAAGGCAAAATACCAGTGATGCTTTCATCCTTTTCCGTGCTGAACTGCATTGTGAACCATTGCACCTCCAGCTGGGAGGACCTGACTGCGGCCCCACCTGGCAGTCCACTAGCTTTCCCCCTGATTTATAGTTTAATACATTTGTACTGCTGCCATATGGCTTCCCTCTCCCTCACACCACCCTCCCCTACCCCTTCCATCATCCCCCTCTTCCTCCCTCCCCTTTCTCATATCTCAGAGTTGCTCATCTTGGGAGCCTCTCAATCAAAGCATGCCCCTCAATTCCCTGTCCGTTCATCCCTCCCTCCTTCCTACTTTTCTTTTCCCTTCTTTCTGTCTTCCCTACTTCTCCTCCTTTGTTGCAACAGGGCCCCTTTGCTCCATCGCCTGTGTTGCAGTTCACTCCCAAGGTCAGCACAGATCAGATCTTGCCACCGTCAGCGATTGATGCATCCGTGAGCGAGCTGCTAGGGTTCTGTGTCGTGCAAACGAGACCAAAAGTGGAGTGTGCGGAGCAACGGAAGGGCGCATTTCCGCGTATAACTAAGCAGCTGACGTTCATATTCATTTTCACGGTTAGTTAGTGTGGCTAGTGGCCTTTAGGGCGCGTATGGCAGAGCCACAGATGGGGTCAATAGGAGAAAGGAAGCCTGGGAGAGAGGCCAGAGCGTTCGGCAGTGTGGCCAAGAGGGCTGTGGAGAGCTATCTCACGCTCTCATTAATGATCATTGATAGCTCGATTACAGAGAGGGGAGAGGGGCCTTGGCTGGCAAGTTCACACCACTTGACAAAATCACATGACACTCTCTTTGGCTAAGCATTTGCACGCACATAGAGTGCATACAAATTCCTTGCAAGCTTCTCTTTATGGATACACAGTAGTCTTCCTTCACTCCCTAATCATACAAGTCTGTGTAATCAATAAATAGCCTCAGTCTCCCAAGAGACCATGCAGTTTGGGGGAGGCAGAACTCTGAGAAAAATTGTTACCATTCTTTCTGTCACCTCTGTTATATGACTCATTTGTTGAGTTTATGCATAGAATCTTTATAGGACATCTGTGTTCACTTGCAACTAATAGAAATATTGTGACAAAAGGAACAAACACTAGCATCACAGCACACCAGGATAAAGTGAGGCGCCTCCTAAATTTCGGGTCCCCTTGTCCCCTTTGTATGTGTGTATTATATTTTAATTTAATGGAGTTCTTTGATGCTGTCCAGCATGTGCTAGTCAGCCCAGATTAGAATGTGAAAGTCAGAGAATGAGATGAAACAATAACATTTGGCTTTCTATTGATTAGTGCAGTGGGGCGTAGCATGTGCTTCTCTTTAGCTGAATTATTGATTCCTGAAAGAGGACTTGTGTGTCTGTGTGTGCACATTAGTGTGTGTGTGTGGCTTTTATATGAGGTTATGGCTAGGGGGAGCTGGCAGGATGTAGCTTTGATGAAAGGATCCTTTAAAGGCCCTATTTCTGTCTATTCCCCAGATGATCAGTCCATGGAGTCATTTGCTGAAATTCAGCCTTTATTCAGCCTGTGTCTTTCCATGTGAGCGTGATCCTTAGTGCTGTTCACAGCTTGCTGTGCATTCAACTTTAATGATAGGTAATAGATGTGCATCACAAATGAGAAAATTACAGTAAAATGCCTCGCCCAGGACCCAGCCTGGCCCCTCCCCTCACCCACGAGAACAATTACTGCACACAGATCAATTATTGTTGTTTCATGGTGGTGTTTAGGGAAGAATACGATTTTCAACCAAATGTGCGCACTAAGTGCCTGTTAGTTATATCTCAGTCTCACTCAGTGACAGGCATTTTCGGTTCAGTTTCATTATTACGCACGCAACGCACAAAAGGGACTCTCAAATTAGCGATAATTTGCCTTGAATACCGGCAGTAAATTCTGGCTCTGTTGTGACATTTAGTGGACTTTTGCGTTGTTGGACTGACACGGCTGTACCTTTGTGCTGTTACACCATTGACAGTCTAGGTCATTACACGCTTACTGTCAATGATCACGCGCTGTCAGACCGTAACAGACACACACGCTCTGAAACATACACTGTGCCGGGCAGGTCACTTTGTTACAGTACAGAAT